TCAATCAAATGGCATGGATTTCTTTTTTAGTCTGCTTAAATAATTTATGAATGATTGAAACTTCCATTAAAATTGTCAAAGTCAATAGATTCAGTGTCTGCTTCTAAAAATAACCTAGCCAATAGGAGATGGAAAAACATGAAAAAAAGTCGGTAGTCACAATTGCAGCTACTGTATGATGCAACTCCTCACATCGCCCCTGTCAGAAACCCTCACTAACACCATTGGAAGGTGTAGAATTGGGTTTTCATTTGAAAGGTTGCTTTTGTGGCAAATAGAACACTGTTGCATAAGTGTTGATATGTGTGTTTTACACTATAGAGTATATATTTAGGGCGAGACCGCCACCCCTGACCACATACAACCAAAGCTAAAGAGATATGGTTTAGACCAAAGGATATCCATGTGTAAGAGTGGCCTAGTCAAAGTTCACACCTGAATGAGTTTGATCATCTGAAGCAAGACTTGAAATTTGATTCTTTGTATGTGATGTGGACTCCCTCTCAGCCACAGAGAGTTGAGGAGTTGAAGGACAACAGAAACCAGTGTTACACCATCTTCTGTGCCACATCATATATGGTGATCCACGGGGGACAAAATATAATGACACATTGGTAAGCAGATTTGATGGCGTGGTGAAGTGAGTAGGGTTGTCAAAAGTATCGAAACTCAAAAAAGTATCGATACTGAAATGTTGTATCTGGATACAATACTTGTTTTTAAAAGTATCGATACAGTGCCGTCACCAGTGGCACCTAAGCAGTCATTCATCTAAAGTGCAGAATAGAGGACAATGCACTTTCTGAACACTGTGTGATTGAATAATTCTGTGCTCTTTTCGGTTTCAGACTTTTTTTTTTGTAAGAGGTGCAGCTGCTAAGAATTATTTTTGTTTCTTAACTGGTTTGGCTAGTGTCATTGTTATGTGTGCAAAGCATAGCCAAGGAAGAAACACTTAATTTGAATTTTATAAGTTTTTTATCAAGCTTGCATAATATTATGCACAGCATACAACCTTTATTGTGTTTATTTATTGTATTTTATTTATTAATGAAAATATTTCTGTTGAATTTTGGAGTCTTTGTTTTTATCCTTGTGGTATCGAAAATGGTATCGAGTATCGAATATTTTCCTTAGTATCGGTATCGAGTTGAAAAGTTTAGTATCGTGACAACCCTAGAAGTGAGCAGTGCATAATTTCGACTACAGGGAGCTGAAATATCAAGCAACTAATTTCCATGTTTCTCAACTCAACCATTAAACCTGACAGACCCAGAGTTATGGTGAAGATAAATGACCAGGAATGTCTGTCTGTAGATGTACTGTACTGGCCTTCTAAAGCATACCATCAAAAGAGTATAAACTACTGACTCAAGGGGCTCAATATTTAGATTTTAGATTAATATATAAAAATGTGACTTCTTAGTTTTGAAGTTTGCAGTTTGATAGCATATACTGTAACCAATTCATTTCAAACTGGTTGTATTTACAATGTTTATCTTTTGATAAATATTAAACCATTCTTTCACTTAACTCAGCCTGTTTGAGAGCTTGCACCAAAATGAGATGCATATGAGTTAGTGCTAAATCATCAGGGTCTTTGCTACATTTCTCATCAAACTCACATTAGTAAATTTACACTCCACCGTTGCTCCAGGGTACGGTAAGCAGCGCACCGCGAAGTAAACATGTTTTCACTGTCAGCTTTTTACCAGATTCTGTTTCTCTTATTCCCAGGAACACATCGTGTCCAACAGATCATTGTCGTGACACTAGTGCTAATACCCACACGCAGTCAGACTGTACGTGATGCAGTGTGATGCTGCCATGTCTAGGAACGTAACAGATACTGTATCAGATACTGTAAACTGTATCAGACCATGCTGGTGATCTGACAACGCTAAAGTATTCATCATTGGCTCTAACTTCTATTGGCATCTACCGTGGTGGTTTGCTAAAGAGCTGTGCAGGACCTTACTTTTGCTCCTGCCTCGCTGGCAGGCACATCACTGAGCCACGGGATTTTGCTATTGATTTCAGGTAGGCCTCCGGCATACTAATGATGTTCCCTTAGAGGAGAGTTAAAATAGGAGCGAACTTAATGCACAACAGAAGCATTTATCTAACCCCGCTAATTCTTCTGTGTATGTGTCTGTGCTCTAATTACACGCCATCTGGCATTTCCCCTGGTAAAATTCCCTCTCATCCCTCACACTTGGCCGTGTTGATTGCTGCTGATCTTAGAGTGAGGACTCATGCAAAAATCTCTGTGAAAGACACCGAGGGTGATAGTGAGCTACAGGCTGTGCAGTCGGCGGGGTGGAGATTTGAGAGCGCCAGTGTGGGGGGGTTATTCTGCCCAAGTGCACTGATGTGGCCCAACAGAGAGGCCTGCTCGAAGACTCTGGAACTTCCAGCAGCAATATCGAATGCTGCAGCTACTGTTGGCTCAAAAGTGGCTCGGCTCTTTCCCTCCGTGCAGCTCCTAATAGGGGGCATGAAGAGAAACTAGCTCTGGAGTCAGAGCTCCTCTCATGCATGTAGAATTTGACCATGTAATGCGAAACCAAGGCAAGAGAACTGAACTGTGAAGATGGAAGAGAGATGACTTCCGTGGAGAATTCTTGTCTGACATTCACTGTTCTTTGCTCTGAACACAAACAAGCAACTAAGAAAAGTGATGTATTTTCCCAAACTTCAGTCATTTGTGAAATGAAGCTGCACTTTCTTATGGCTGCGTCACTCTCCACATATTTACAACCCAACAAAGTCGATCCTATTTTCCTCAATATTTTCTCTTATTCTGCTCTAAACCTTTTTTTCCCCCCAAATCAATAAGCCCCATGGACATAAGAGCAAAGATCCCTAAACAAGATGATACTGGTAGTGAAGGTCAAACTTACTAATAGCTACAAAAAAAACAAGGAAAGGATTAGTAATCGGCAGCTTTGTGGAGGCTCTGTGTCCATAAAATGCTCTTTGCAACAATGTTCTTCCACTTTACCTTTTTCAATGTTTTGTTCTTTAGGAAAAACTCTGTTCTAATATATTCAGCTGGAGATAAACTGTGCATAAATAAGAAGTGTAAGGGAAAGGACAATTGATATGTTTTGTATACGTTTTTTGAATATTTTTAAAATATGTGTAATATTTAGACTTGATCGATTTTATACATGAATGAGGTCCAGCCCATCCTTTAGGGAACATCTCACAGAGTGCATGTTTTATCTGTTATACGTCACGTCTAGAGAATTACGGAGTGAACCAAAGCAGTGTTAATCAGAAGGAAAGAAAATACTCCAGAGAAGCTAAAGAAATCCATAACTCAGGTGAGAGCATCTGGATAACTATTAGCTGTTATTTGTGTAAATCTGCCCTTTATGGGTAAGTGAAAAGAAGACAGCCATTAATGTAAGAAAGACAAAACCTTTATATGTTGCAGTTTGCCACAAGCTATTTAGAGGATGACAAAACATGAAGAGGGTGTTTTGGTTGGAAAAGACCATTTTCAGCTCTGAGGCTTGCATCCAAATTCTGTGAGATGAAAAAATAGCCATTTTCATCCTACTGAATTCATCCCCACCAGCCAACATGTTGAGTTTTAATCAGCAGGGATGGAAACGGGTTGGAGTGGACAATGAAAAATGGTGAATACTGGGCTACAGTGGTAGAAAGCAGCAAAATAACATCAAAGAAGTAAAAGATGCCACCCTTTAAGTTATAGTTGTAAAAGCTTTTAATTTGACTGCTACATTAGGGGTCAGTATTGGCATGGGTGCTTCGAAACATGTCATGATACTTGGGTCACGATACGACATTATCACCATCTTGCAATATTATTTTTTATTGTGATATTTTTCCCAGCTATCAAAATTAAATGTATGTGAGTGGTGTAATATGTTCATCAGAAGATATTCATCTCTCAGTTATTTTGATATCCATATTGTTAGGGGTTTGAGTCAGTCCCCGTCTTCAGGGCTGGTTATACTCCCGCAGAAGTGTGTCGCAGTGAGCTTGTCGCAGATATTTTTGATTTATGCCCAATATTGAAGCGTTGTCTGTGCTATGTTATTCCACAAGAGGGTCAGTCACAAACTAGCTGTGGGTCTAGTTGCGGGAATCCAGGTGGAAAAAGGCTCCCAGTGTTCTCACGCACCTCGCTATTCTCACTGGTCCATCTTCATGAGTCGTTTTCCACAATGGCGATCATACAAACAAAACAAGCCGGTAAGGTACCAAACAGGAAATACGCATAGAGTAGAGTGGATGTAGATTTGACCAATCAAATTCCTCCTGTCTGCACTCACCTACAATTTCGGAGAGGTGCACCAGAGTGTCTGCGGAAGGGGCGGGGCATATCTGCGTTCACTGCGACACACACACAGACGACCTCGTTTCTGAGCATAAATCAGCCTTTCCACTGTGACTGTCCATTTTCCTTTCATTGTTTTAGGTAAAAATGTTTCGTTTTTTTTTTAATCGTTACTAGGAACTGAAAGATTGATAATATATCATGCAGCAAAAAATCATGATATATCGCCAAATCGAATTTTTCCTACACCCCTATTCTTCACATCTTTTTCCATTTAAAATCATACATGTAATGCTTTGCATTGATTGATTACATTAGATTACTTTCTCATAAAACACACTAAATTCTGTGGCACACTAAATATGCCTTTTGCAAATAAGAGTGAAAAGGTTAGGTAGGAATGCATCATGGAAATGTTTGTATCGGTTTTATCAGCCTTCAACGTCATTTATCCACGGTGACGCTTCAAAGTCGTTCTATTTTCAGAACTCATCTGTCTTTAGGGAAGAGTGAAGGAGATGGCTTCAAATCGACTGCTAAAACACTTTTAACAGACTGAGAAAACCAACTCCTGAATAAAATACACCAAAGTTAGATTAGCTAATAGCCAGTGTGAGAAGTTTTGATATATTACCGGTTTTAAGTGAATACAGAAAAAATCGAATTAAAAGTAAATGTACACACTTACCACTGCTGAACTTCTTTTTCTGTGACTGTAAGAAAAGAAAAGAGTGACATTAGAAAAGAGCTTTGTCCTAGAAAAACTAGTCAAGTAGTTAATCATCATGGCCTAAACCTTTCCAGCACATATATGCTGAGCCAAAAACATATATATATATATATATATATATATATATATATATATATATATATATATATATATATATATATATATATATATATGAGCACATATGCAAATATTAAAAAGTATCACCATTTCAGCCATCGATTAACTAACTGATTAAAGCATGTCTAAAGATAGAGTACGGAAAAAATAAATGGAAGCCACCAAAAAGACGGGGGGTGAAGGTCAGCCACAGGTTTAGAGGAAAATACGTCCTAGAAGCAGGATGTGTTGTTATGCCCACACAGGCAGCAACAGATCTGAGGAACAGATCCCACGTGGTTTCCACTTGATAAGTTACTTTGTCTGAACTAACCAAAGCAATTTTCAGCTCTCTGGCTCCCAGGGATTCTATAATGAAAATGAGGACTGAAAATCAATAACTTTAGTTTAACCAAACCCTCCTTCTAAACTCTCATTGTGCTGATGCACCACTTTTATTGAGTAGAGGTTTGAACAAAGAGCTTTAAACCACAACAGCCCAACATTTGAGTTAAACACCAATAGCATTTAATCTAATGTTTAGCCTGAATAACCTCACTGTCATGGCAGCCATTCCTGTATTCAACCCATAATAAAGCATTACATCTTTACTCTTTCTACATACAACTGGAACACATATCAATAAGTGGTAAAAAAGGAGACAACACAGTGTTAAGATTACAAAAACTCTTCTGTTAAATTTACACATTATTTCTAAGAATATAGCTGAATCACATAGAAGCTGGTTGAAAAGGTTTCAGCTTTTGTCTGCGCTTATCTCCATCTCGACTTGTTCTGCTCAGCTCTTAGCCAGGAAACCCAGCATGTGACCTCTTCCAGGAAAGGAAATGTCAGGTCGAGCTCAAAACTGACAGGTAAGTTGAGCTACTATTAAACTGGCCTTTACAGTAACTGAAGACAAAAAAAAAATATGGAGCAATTTAACTTTTCTACAAATATTACAAAAAAAATATCTCGGATAACTTGGTGAGAGGTGATGGAAAATGAATACAGCCCTTATTTAAAACTTTCCATCATGCCCCTCCTCGGCCTATTGCTGTACACTGTAGATCTGCCGGCTGAAAGGCTACAAAAACTGGCCAGTAATAAATTGTGGACTAAAGAAGCGACCTCTGCCTCATAGGACAAGTGAGAATCAATTTTTATCTCCACCAAAGAGGTTTTGTGTTCGGTCGTCCTCGTTTGTCTGTTAGCAGACTTAATTAGAACACATAGTATACAGCAAATACAGGGGGCCGAAATGAGTTTCCTTCGCAGGGTGGCTGGGCGCACCCTTTGAGATTGGGTGAGGAGCTCAGTTACCCGGGAGGAGCTCGGAGTAGAGTCGTTGCTCCTCAACGTCGAAAGACGCCAGCTGAGGTGGCTGGGGCATCTGTCCCAGATGCCTCCTAGTCACCTCCCTAAGGAGGCGTTCCAGGCATGTCTATTGGGAGGAGACCTCGTGGAGGCAGAGGACACACTGTAGGGACTACCTCTCTCTGCTGGCCTGGCGTCGCCTTGGGGTCCCCGCAGAGCAGCTGGAGAAGGTGTGTGTTGATCAGGAAATCTGGGCATCTCTGCTTAGACTGCTGTCTCCGGATAATGAGGTGAAGAATGGATGGATGGATTTATCCAACTATGTCTTCATGGACATAGTAATTACATTTACCAGAGGTGCATCTAAAGAATGATTGATTAAATTTTGGTGATGATCCAGATCATAATCCAGATACAGTTTCTTTTTTTAACTCTTTAACATTATTTGGCGGAATGAGCAGTTCCCCCCTAAACCAGTCAGTGGCAGCACCGAGTGTTTACAGCTTTTGCAGCGGATGTATTATACTGAAGACAAAAACAAAACAAAAGTACAATAAAGCACAATAAAGGGCTGAAAAAAGACGAAAGCAGAGTGCAGAGCAAATGAAAGTGGGAGCAGAACAGACACCAGAGGCTGCAGAAAGACACTCTGTGCCTCATTTATAAATTTATAAACTGATTTTAAGGAAATTCTTAACCAAAGGAGCACCTCATTCCAAGAAGCAATTCATAAAGATGTGATAATGATCTAGTTCATGTGCAAGTTTGAGTAAGTCGCGATATGGGCCAACAAATGCTGCTTGGTCAGAGCTCTCAGAGTGCCGTTTTAGTTACGGTGTAGAATAGGGGTCTGCCACATGTGGCTCTAAGACGCCTTCACTGGAGCTCTAACCAAACAGAATAAAAATGACTAAATATGAAGGCAATTGTGTCGCAGCTCTTTGTGTGTAGTTTTTGTGCGATATCTGCAGAGAAGATCTACAAAACCAGGTCAACTGTGGTACACAGCTGGTTTAAAAGTAATCTAATGTTTTGAGGAGTATCAGTAGAAATGTTTATTTTTTAATGTACGAAATTTCAAACTCTTAGTTTTCAATGCTAATGTAATCTAATGAATGCCAAAGTTGAAGGTGATAGTGTTGCTGTTTAAACCATATTTTCTCTCATTAACGATGCCTACATGAATAAATATCGTTTAGTGCAATTCAAAGTAAGTCCTTTATTAATGTAGCCTGTATAAAACTGCTGTTTTAAGTATTTCTGGTTTTGTTCGTGGGGCTGCATAATGTTTTTACAATTTTTAATGGTCATATTTAATAAATATTAACTATATTTTCTCTTAAACCCCCCCTCCAACCCTCTATTGTATAAAGATCTGGTGAATAGCGGGAGCTCAGTGAAATCACTGTCATGTTCATGGAACCAGCTACGAGTTCATTTGAGCGTTGTGATAGAGTGAATTATCCTGCTGGGATAAGCCATCACATAAAGGGTACTGTAGACTGTGGCAGAGGGAAAGAAATAGACAATGATTGTTTTCAGTTAGTGATTTCAAACCATGTAGCAGAGGGACCAAAATGTGCCAAGAATATATCCCCCCCTACAACCTCGATTATTTGAATGTTGCAGCTAAAAATGAAGACCAATTAATTAGGCAGTGTCTTTTAATCTGATATTGTTCACCATTGGTAAACTGTTGTGAATTGCAGCATTAGCTTCCTGTTCTTTGCTACCAGGATTGTGGTTTTAGGCTACCGTAGCCAATCTATGATGTTCTGCAATGTGTTGATATCCTGAATACATGAATCCAAACCAGTGACAGTGACCTTGGCATTGAAGAGAATATTTGGTATTGTAAATAGAAAAAAAATTCAAATATAACACAAAATTCAAACAAAGAAATATCAAATATTGCGACTGAAAAAGTAACACTATTCTTTCCGGGGAAATCAGGGGCAGGTATAAACTAAAGGCTCCTTCAAGGGCCTTCTGCAGGTAAATGACTAGGAGAACCAGAAAAACAGAAGGCCCCTGAAGGAGCCTTCAGGTTAACACTGCACCCCATGCAAAAACAGTACCAGCTTGTGGTGACATTGTTAACTAAAGAAACTCTGACACTGAAATCATATTTCTTTAAGTAAAAGCTGCAGCATAAATAGGAGTATCAGCTTTTCAATAGAAATGTTTCATTTTTTATTGTTAAAAATTTAAATCTCTTAATTTTCAATGTCATTTTTGACGTTGACACAAGCTGTCACTGGTTTAGCTCCATACATATATCACTTGTGACAATTTCTCTCATTTCTATCATCCCACGCCACTTTCCATACTGACCTTTTACATCAAGGCATTTTCTCTATACAAATGCCTGATGCTAAATGGATATCATGTCATTTCAAACCAATCAAAAATATCAATAAATCACTATTATCTAAAACCCAGACCAGCCTTACTTTAAGTCACTTCTATTCTCTTTCTTCCCAACTCTGATTATCTGTTTGAAATCCAGCAGCTTTACATCATCTAGAGTCTCACCTCTCAGTTTCACTGAATGTTAAAGTGGTGCAGAAGAACCACAGTGCAGCTGTGCTCTGCTAGGCACCCTGTTCTACCTTAAGTTTTTTAAGGTGCTAAGTTGGACTCAGATAACGTGCGGATTGCGTCATCGCACCAACTTAAAAAGAACATTAAACCAGTAAAGTGGTTAATTGGCCAGAATAACCCATGTCCACTGTGCCTGTTCTTCATCTTGTCACCTTGTCTTGTTTTCTTTTGTTCCGTCTCTGATTAATGGTGTTGTCAGAAATTGTTTTAAAAATCCAGAAAATCTGATTCATAGTCTGCACATGTAGTATTTTACTTGTAAACTCAGCAGGATCCACTAGAATGACATAGAGTTAGAGACATAGAATACAACAACTGCATAAGAGAAGCAGCGAGCGACGGCTCATCTGGGACGCTTCAGAAACGCACGTCGGTGCACCAGGTGGAACAGCTATGACTGACAGCGCTTTCACACCCCTTCCACATTCAGAGGAACACAGGAGAAAGTGTGATGTGCTCATGCCATATGACTGGCAGAAAAAAATATTGGTTTTACCAGTCAATGGAGCATCTATCAATCCTTAGATGTATTTAGAACGAGGCTGACACATAGGAAAAGTGAAGAATAAGGGAAATTCAGACAAGCTAAAATAATTAATTCAGAGACATGTTTTCTGTACAGAACACCCATAGCCTGGGATTTGAACCCAGGACCTTCTTCCACCAGACAACAGTCAGTGAATTAACAGGTGTAGTTATTGGAAGTGAATATATGCATTAAAAACAAAATAACCACTGAATGTTTTTAATAAAAATATCTTTACAGTAATAATCAATGCATAAAATAGATTTTACTAGTAGAAATTATGATCTCTTCCTGGTTTAAATTAGATCATGGCTGTGTCTGAACGTCTGCTCTAACCCCTAAATCCCTCAATAGAGAGGGGGGCTAAATAGTGGATTTTATAGTGATCTCAGTTAACTAACTGTTCGGATGATCCCTACTTTCCGCTCCCCGTTGGTCAC